ACTTTTTGTCTGGAAGTGCATTTTCCATATTAATGTGGAGTTCTTAGTGCAAAAGATTAATATGAAAGTGTTTCCCCATTAGGATAGGTACACTTGAGTATGCCTTGTCTTGAGAAAATGTTAGGCTATGAATTCAGTCTACCCTAGAGACTATGAATAACCTTTGGAGAGTTTGTTTTTTATCTGGATTCTCTGAAATTCTCTTGCTTAAAGAGTTAGCACCTCGTTTCATGTTGTTTCTGCAAATAGTCTGTTTCATGAAAAAGCATTTAATTTAACTTCTTACTACCTTTTCTTTCATTATCTGAGCCAACCATGTTGTCAATTTCTCACCTGTCTTCTTCATCCCTTCATCTATTATGTGGTCAATACTATTCTTCATTTTAAAATCCTCTCTCATCAGTTTCTCTGCATCCTATCTGAATTTAAGATAACCGTAAATACATGTTTCAGACCTCAGCTTCCCTAAAAATGATAGTGGCTGTCTTTACTTGTTATTTCAGCCTTGCAATACTAAACTGGGTTATTAGGAGGAAAGGATATATGGCATCATGCTATAATTCTACCTCTATGGTTTTGAACTGGAAGTGACCTTAGAGATCACCTGATGTGGAAATGGAGGCTCAGAATATTCCTTGTTGACTTGGAAATGAAGACATGTACAAGGGGTCAAAGGACTCATTAACTCCTAAAATAATAAGAAATGACTTGAGTTACCCAGTATGAGCATATGGGGCACAGAATTTCTCCAACCACAAAAAGAACCTTCATCAGGCTGTCAGCTAGGTGATGTACTGAATAGAGCATTAGACCTGGAGTCAAGAAGACCTAAGTTCGTAATCAGGGGCATGCCAGAGCCAGTTCTAACTGGCTTGAGAGAGCTGGTTGTTAAATTGTCAGTGTGAGCCTTTATATCACAGAAATTACAAGTGCTACAAATCTGGGCTTGATTTATTGCTTTGCTGACTGTCTAAGCTTAAGAAAGTAAAGGAGAAAATGTAAATAATGCAGATTAAACTTAAAAGTGTGTCATGCATACATTCTTTCTCCCTCTACCCCAAGCTGGATGTTAAACATTTACTCACGTACCACTGGTCATAATTCTACATCATATGCTTAGTAGTTGTGTGACCTGAAGAGGTCATTTAACAATTGTATGTCTCAGTTTTGGAGTGTGGTGTATAACTTCTTTCTTTATTTTTTTTCTCCACTGCATCTTCTTCTCTAGTTCTCTCCTGGGTGATTTTCAATTCTGCCATTTGCAATAGCTAATCATTAGAGATCTCAAATCTAATGGCTTCATCTACATTCTTATTCCTATACTTTCTAATGTTTTTTACAGTGTTAGTCATCTGTGTTCGTAAAAAAAAAATTTTCTCCTAGAGAAAAATTTCTCCTTGAACTCCAGCTAAACTAGACAACTCACTGTTACTTGATATCATCTTGACTTTTTTTTTCTGTCCCCATTTCTTTGTCCATACGAGCCTGGAAAGAACTCTTATTCCCCTAAATATCTACCTATCAACATTGTTCCCTTCAAGGACTGGATCAGGGTCTGCTTCCTCCTTCAACTTTCCCTGGTCTTTTCCCTCTGACCCTGGTTAGAAATGATCCCTTTCTTGAATTCATTAGACCACTTTGTTTGACCACTAATTTGTATTGTTTTTATTTATGTCTGTGTCTCTTCTTCCTTGTCATGCTTTTGTTGCTTGTGTGACCTTAGGAAAGCCACTAAAACACTCTGGATTTCAGTTTCCATATTCATAAAAGTGAGGTGGGATACTCTTTAAAATTCTTTCCAGCTCTGAATCTATGGTCCTATCATCCAATGACCTAACTGTTCCCACAAAATGGTTGTAAGCTCTTTTAGGTATGATTTAATCTTTATCTTTGTATCCACAGAGACCAGTGTAATGACTTGCACATAGTAGGCACTTAATACTTGATTGTCAATCAAATTTAACTTGTTGAATTGAACTGTGCTCATTTTGGTCCTATTCTTAACCAATCTCAATGCTATTTGGCAATCTTTAACTCATCGAGCAGAAAACGAGCAGAGGTAGAGCAATGACCACTGATGAGGCATCCTTTTAACTTACTATATAGAATACTAGACTTGGAGTTGGGAGATCTGAGTTTGAATTCTGTCTCAGACACTAGCTGTGTGACCCTGGGCAAGTCATTTAACTTTCATCATCTTCGTTTCCTTCTCTGTAAAATGGGGATAATAATAGTCTCTACTTCACAGAGCTGTTGTGGGGATCAAATTAGATATTATATGCAAAGTTCTTTGTAAACATTAAAGTGTGATATAAATGTTAGCTATTACAGTATGGTCGTTTTTGAGCTTAGCAATACCTTGAGATACAGGTATATAGCATAAGTGGCTAAATCAATTAGGACTCAGAGGTATATGCTCTCTTTTTTCCTTTAGAGACAGAGACATCAATTATGAAACTGAAACTGAGGTACATGTAGAGTAAAGATCATTGGACAGAGAGTCAAGAGAATGGGTTCTAGTCCTAGCTCTGTCATTAATTGGCTAGTGAGGTTACCCTTTGGCCTTGTATGGGCCTCAGTTTTCTCATTGATCTCTTTTACAATTCCCTCCATAATCCCCTGTATGACACTACAATTTCTTCATTTTGATATCTCAATCAGTACTAACGTGCTACCCTTGAGACTTTCTTGATCAAAGTTATCTCCATATCATTAAGTTCAATGCCATTTCCCACACCTTCCAAATTTGGCCCATTTTTTTTCTTAGAGAGGAAAGGCTAAACCATTAGAGATACAGGCTGCTGAGAAGGGAGCTATGTATAGCACGCTGAGCCCACACAGCTGGAAGACTGCTCTTCATTAAACAGTCTCCTATTTTTAAGCAGGCTATATTCAACTCTGAATACTACACAAAGTGTATAGACTCTGAATGGCATCTGCTCATTTGTCTCTTTCCATTTGGTTTAGCAATTTTTGGCTTCCAGTAACCTCAGAGTGTACTCTGAAGACTGATGGAGCTAAGCAGTTGCCCCTACTCTCCTCTGTTGCCTGAAGCCTAGCTACATTGGCTAGAGATAAACATCATAGTGAAAAGCTGGTCTCAAGATTTTTTGCTTCATCTTTGAGGATGTAATTAGCCATTTAAAGCATTGCTTAAGAGTATCACCAGAATCAATGTGTTGTAGGGGGAACAACACTGGACATGGAGATAGAAAACCTATGTGTGAGGCTGATTCTGCCATATTTGTGTGCCCTTGGGCAAGGCACCTCTCCAGGACTAAAAAAGTAGCCAAGCCATCAGGAGGAGATACTCCTTTGGATATTTTCTCCAATTTGTTCACCTTATGTTTGAGATGACAAGACATTAGAGTGTTTAAAAAAGGACCATGAAGGTAGAAAATGGAAACCATGGATGACCAAGTCATCAAAAAAAGCCATTGAAACCATGGAAAAATTAAAATTACATGAGTAAACAATAGTCGACAATTTATAGTACTTTACAATTTACAGAGGACTATGTCATATATCTTATTCTGACTTCAAAAGAAACCCATGAGTGAGGCAGTAAAAATATTTTAGCTTCATTTTACAGATGATTGACTGAATCAAAAAGAACTGTGCTGAGCTCTGGGGCTACAAATATATTAACCAAGTTTTAGGGTAGCTGGTAGCTAAACCCAGGCCTTCATAGGATCATGTGATTATAGATTATCAGCTATAAAGGAACATAGAAGCCAATGAATAATTTCAAATATGGGGAAACTGAGGAACAGAGAAAGGTTAAATGATTTTCCCATGGTCACAAGGCTAGTAAGTTTCTGAGGCAGGATTTGAAATGAAGTCTTATTTTCTCTTTCTTCCATGTTATATGAAATTGTGAAATGAAGTTGTGAAATTGAGTACTGTAATATTGAAGACTGAACCTATGATTTTATTAGGAAAGAGAACCTCCAATGAAGTGTCTTCTTTTGCCAATATGCTTTCTTTGCAACTTAGAAGATTAGGAAGTATTATGTAACTTGCCCAGGGTTACATAGTCAGTATGAGATATAAGCAGGAGTTGAGCCCAGATTTTCTTTCTTCCAAGGCAAACTCATTATCTCCTATGCCTCACTGCCTTTCAGCTGTAATATTAAACACTTTGAATGAGATTTGATCCAATAAAAAGTATGTAAAGTACTTTACAACCATAAAACACTGTGCAATTATAAGCTAATATTATTCCTAATAGAAGCTGGATAGCATAAAATGTTTCGTCATCTGTAAAATGAGCTGGAGAAGGAAATGGCAAACCACTCCAGTATCTTTGGCAAGAAAACTCTAAATAGGGTCACAAAGAGTTGGACACGCCAGAGACAAGTGATCACAGCAACAGTATAAACTGTAGTCAGCTAGACCGTATATTCTTTTGAATGGTCATCTGCCATGTTGATTTTCCATATGTTTATTCCCCTAGCACTCCATACTCTCCCTTCTTCCTCCAATCCAATCCCTTTTCTCCTCTCTCACTCCTAGCAAATCTAATTAATATTTGGTGGCTTTGTCAGGTTTTTTTTTTTTTTGCTGAGAATTACAGATGACTCTCTTTCATTTTTTATGGTTAGACTCACCACCCCCACCCACCCTTGCCCAAAGAGTCATTTTAATATTATTCATTTCTGAACTATCCAGTTTGAGGCTTATGTAGGGCTCTTGGGTCCTCTTATTTTTCCTACTTCCTGTCTTCAGGGCATTTAGCTTTTCATTTTCATGTTCACCAGAGATTTAGTTCAGGGAAGGAATGGGAATAAGAGGACCTGAAATTCCAAGCCAAAATTTATTAGATTATCAGAAGCTCTGGTGAAGGTTTTGCTGAAAGAGACTAAAAAAGAAGGATTAGAGATTGCCTATGCATTTCAATGATTTGTATGGCCATGAAAATAAAGCAAGGTAAAGCTGAAGTAAAGCCAAATCATTCCTTGATCTTATCATGATTAGAATGGCATGCTGAATGTGATTACCTCTGATTTCAGCCGTTCAATCTCAATCTCCCCATCTTCGATCTGTTGTCTCAGCTGTTTGGCAACTGTTTTCTCTGTTTCCACAATTTGAAGTAAATGGAGATACTTCTGCATTAAAGCTTCATGTTCTGTGGCCAGGTTCCTGTAACTATGTAGAGACATGAGCATTTCAAATATGTCTCCACTTAAAAAAAACCCCCAAAACAAAACAGCAACAACAATACTGCCTACATTTTCCATATCCTCTCTCTTTTCCCTTAACCAAATGACAGTCGATTGGCAGCAAAGAATTTTTGAGCACTTTCTTTTGTGTCTAGCACTGTTCCACACACAATGGTGGACACAAATTGAAGAGATTAGAGTAACACACACATAAAATTAAGGGACAAAGAAAACATTTAATTAAGAACTAATTTAATTATATAAACTACAAACGTAGGAGATGTGAGAGATAAGAGATGAGAGCTGGAATAGTCAAGGAAAGCTTCACAGGAGAAGTGAGACTTAGGCTGGACCATGATGGATGAGTAGAAATCATACAGGTAATTAAGAGACAGGGTATTGTAGGCAAGGGAAACAGTATAAGCAAAGATATGTAGGAGGGTATGTATGACCATGGTATGTTCAAAAGCCAGTAACAAAAATATCCTGAATGAAGGATCCATGTTGGGGAGAAACTGTGAATAAGGTTGGGTAGGCAAGAGGAGCTAGATTATTGAGATTCTGGAATGCCTGACTGATGAAATTAGACACAAAATTATTAGAGAAGGGATAGACCTTCAAGATAACCTAGTTTAAGTGCTTCATTTCAATTAAACAAGTGTTTGTTAAGCCATCCTGTGTGTAGACTCTATTACTTGATCCTGGGGCTATGAAGATAAAAAAAAATGGAAAAATTTTTACCTTCAAGGAGGTTACATTCTACTGGAACTGAGTATGAGTGGGATATGTAAAAGATATAAGATAAGATATATATATATATATATATATATATATATATATATATATATATATATATGTAATCAAATGGAAAGTAATTGAAGGAAGGAGATAGCATTAACAACTGTAGGACCAGGGAAAGAGGAGACCCTTGATTTGAGCTTTAAAAGAAAAGAGAAATCTGAGTCAGAGATGAGGAAGGAATACATTCTAGTCATGAGGGATGATTTGGGCAAATGTACCTAGGTGGGGGAGAGAATGTTGAATTTAGAAAGTGGCTAGTAGTTCACTTTGGCTGGCATATACAGTGTATGAAGTGGGACAAATGTGAAATGGAAAAGTTGGTTACAGTCATATTGAAGAGGGCCTTAGATGTAAGGTTAAGAAGTTTATATTTTATCCTAGAGGTAGTGGGATCTACTGAACAGTTTTGATCAGGTAGAAACAAGTTCAGACCTTGTACCAAGCATACAGCATGAGCTTAATGAATGTTTGCTTAATTGATGAGGCATTCAGACTAAATTTTCTCAAAGGTCCATTCCTTCTCTAATAATTGTATGTTGAAATTCATCAGTCAGGCATTCAAGGCTCTCAACAATCTATCTCCTTTTTGCTTGCCCAGTATTATTCACAATTGCCCCCTAATATGGATCTTTCATTCAGGATAGTGTCATTACTAGCTTTTGAACTTCCCACAGTCATACATACTCCTACACATCTTCGCCCATACTGTTTCTTCTTCCTCAAGGGAAAAAAAGAGATTATTTTGTTCTTTTCTTTTTTTTGTAGGCAATGGGGTTAAGTGACTTGCCCAAGGTCACACAGCTAATAAGTGTCAAGTGTCTGAGGCAGAATTGAACTCAGGTCCTCCTGACTTCAGGGCTGGTGCTTTACCTAGCTGCCCCCCAAAAGAGGTTGTTTTGGTAACCTTTTGGAGGGTGGATGGTAGAGGAAAGGGACTAGAAGCAAGGCTGGAGGAGACCTTAGAAGTCATTTAGTCCAGCACCTTCTTCTAACATATGATGGGACTAAGGCTCAGAAAACCTAAGGAATCTATCCAAGGTCATATGGGTAATAAGTAGCAAAGCTGGAATTTGAACTCAGATCCTTTGTGTAGGATCAGGCTTCTTGTATAATAAGGAGGGTATTGCAGTAGGTGCTAAAAAAGTGATAAGGACCTGAACTAAGGTAGGGGCTGTGTAAATGGACAGGAAGGGACAGATTTAAAAGACATCATGGAGGCAGGGGTAACTCGACTTGCAATTCTTTGGTTGGGGGAGAGATGTTGATGGAGAGAGAAGCTTCAAATGTGACTATGGTATTATGAACCTGAGCAACTGGGAGTATGGTAGTGCCCATGACATTAAAAAGGAAGTTTGGAGGAGGGTGGTGTTGGGGGAAGGGTTATTAATTTCATTTTAGACATGTTAAGGTTTATTTATTTTTATTTTTTATTTTTTCACTTTTTGGTGAGGCAATGAGGGTTAAGTGACTTGCCCACAGTCACACAGCTAAGTGAGTATTTAGACATGTTAAGGTTGAAATGCCAATGGACATCTAAGGTGGGATTTTTAGCAGCCATCTGGCAACTACAATTCATGAGGCTGGTTGGGGCTAGATTGAACTTCCTCACTTTCATTTGAGGAAACTGAGGATGACAAAAGTAGAATGACTTGCTTCATACTGCTAGTTATTGGTAGAGCAGGACTGGAATCCAGGTCTCTTGACTCCCAATCTAAGCACTCTTTCCATGATGTCAAATAATGCTGGTTAAAATAGTCTCTGAAGGTTTCTGAGCAGAGGAGTGACGTTGTGATCATGGTGTTTAAGGAAGATTAACAGCTATGTAGTGGATAGACTAGGCAGAGAGAGACTATAATAAAGGAGGACAGCTAGATGGTTGCTACAGTTATCTGAATTCAGTTCGAAGCCTGGACTGGGGTGATGACGATGGGAATGAGGTGGAAAGTAAATATTTTAAAAGGTGAATCTATAGGATTTGGTCACCATTTGGGTTACAGACCATAGAATCATGGACTTCTAGAGTTTGAAAGGAACTCAGATGCCACCTGGTTCAACCTATAAAGGAATTGCTGTTGTTTATTCCTATTCTTCTTTACAATAGCGGTGTTAAATTCACATAGAAGCGGGGCCAATAAACTATGCCCTGAGGGCCATCTACTGATTTTGCTTTAAATGTAACATCTGTATTTTATTGTATTTTTATTTATTTTGTTAACTATTTCCCAATTACATTACTTTATGGTTTGGACTACACCCAGGAGTGTTGGGGCCTTGTGTTTGTACCTCCGTTCTACCATATCTTTGAAAAGTGGTCATCTAGCTCAAATTTGAAAAGCAGCAGAAATAGAAAATACTTTACTTCTGGAGGCAACCCACTGTTCCATGGGCATGTGTCTCTCCAAGTGACTTATATGTTTCTTGTAGTTAAGTTCTGTATCTTAAACATTTTGTAATGCCATCTTTCCAACATACTGCTGAGTATAGACTGAACTCCGTCAATACTTTGATGTCCTATTGGAATCTCAAATTTAACATGTCTAAATCCCATTTTTAAGTAGTGCTAATTATGAGGGTTTGTCTTTCTGCATTGAACCAAAATGTCTGTGATATACACCTGTTGCTTGTCGGATCTGCCCTCTGGGGCCAAGAGGAAAAAGTCTAACCCCACATATAGGGAACAAAGAGAGGAATAGTGCAAAGATGACTGGTTCCAAGCTTTCTCTTCATTATAGTATTTCACTTTAGTATGATTAAAAATGAGGGGTAGTAACCAAATTTTCTAAGGAGAAACTCTTAATGACTTCTAGAATGACCTCTAGAATAGTCCAATCCTATGGTTGCTTGGTTCTTAAAAAGGAATCATCTCTCTTTCATGTAATTATAAATTGGGAGTTAGAAGGCCAACTAGTCTACCACTTCATTTTATAGATAAGAAAACAGGCCCAAAGAGGTTGATAGGCTTGTCCCAGGTCACTAGATAGTAAGTTCCAGAGGTGGGGTTTGAACCCAGGTCCTCTAACTCCAGGCCAGTGATCTTTCCATTGTACTCCATATTTGATTAAAAAATAAAATTCAATTCAACAGATATTTTTGGAGTACCTGCCATGGAGTACTAAGAGGAATACAAAGCTGAATAAAACATGATTCTTGGCTTCAAAGAGCTTACAGTCAGGGGTTATTATCCTAGGGTCCATGAACTTATCTTTGAAAAGTATTTTGATAACTATATTTCAAAATAACTGGTTTCCTTTGTTATTCTATGTATTTTGTGCTATGCATTTAAAAATATTATTCTGAGGAGGGGTCCACACTAGGCTGCCAAAGAGGCCCATTTGCAAATGGAATGCTGCTGAATGTTAGACAAAGTTTATTTTCAAATTTAACCTCTCATCCCACTCCAACCCCAATATGTGCAGATTTTATGATGACCATGCCATCTCTTAGGGGTTAATCAGGGAAGTTCTGTTATTAGCATGATGAGATTATCAGGTGATGAGTTCCTCTGGGACTTTGATGGCATCTTCCTATGGAAGCTGTGGACATATCACTGGGCTCCTCATGAGGTTTCTCATAAGCTCCTCATAAGAGGAGCTTCTTCTTTGTGTGGGGCCTATAAAAAGGAGTCAACAGACTTGCTGGATTTTTTGCTTTTTTTTCCTGTTTGGCCTCACTCCTTCCTCCCCTTTTTCCTTCTTTCCTCTCTTTTCTGGAGATATTCTGAGAGAGCAGCAGATCTAAGAGTAGACCTAGGTCTAGGGGTCAGGTTCAGATTTCTTCTCTAGTCATTATGAAGGCCTGCCTTGGGACAGAAGCAGATGGGAGCTGCACATGTAATTACTCTTGCCCACCTTAGCCCAAGAAAAGAGCTCTTGAACTCAAGATTTCCTGAGAAATATTGAAAATTCTTGAACTCTAGCCTCCTGTACAGAGGAGGGAATATTTCCCCAGAAGTGTTAATCCAGAATCTAGACTTCTAGCAAGAGAAAGAGGAACTCCTGGGTAGGTCTAGCCTTGAGAATGTCTTGATAACAATCCCAATAAGGTTCAGGAGTTCTGGGATACAGTCTTCTTAAAGCAAAGGGGAATTCCTGGACAATTGAAGAAAGATTATCATGCATGTGTCCCGTAAACCTGGGAGGAACAGCAAGGGAATAAAGCCATTACGTAGAGGAGTAAAATATCTAG